ATTCCTGATACCTAACACAATGCTTGTTGCATAATAGATGTTCAATAAATGTCTTCTGAACTGAACAACAAAACAACAAAAAACATGAATGTTTGGAAATTGCAAGTAGTTTTGTGTGGCAAATTGTGAGAGGCACAGGAGAGGAGAGTGAAGTGGGCAAAGATAAGGCTAAAAAATAGCTAGGACAAAGTTGTTAACCTGATTAGGCAATGTATTGTTGGTTATCCTTTTATATGCATATTTCTTGTTAGAATGCTTTCTTTAGAGACAAGGATTAAATCTTACATGTCAAAATATTTAATTCGGCATTAGGCACAGTTCCTTGCACATAATAGATGTTCAGCAAATCAAAGGAGAGTTAAATAATCAGATGACAGCATCCACTTAAAAGTACTTTGAAGATTATATTATGATTCAATGATGAGTCATGGATAGTAGGCAGTGACTGTACTCTGTCCTAGATAATGATAGAGGGAGCATTCTTTTGATCCATTGTTTTCCTGTGAACAGAACCTATGTGCATTCTGAAATCATGAAACTATAAACAAACTTAAAACATTAAATAGCTACTTTTTTGTATGTGTTAAGTTTTGGACTCTCCACTCATAAAGAAGTATCAAATGAGATGAAAACTAACTACCACCAGTTTCTTTTTTTTTTAATGAGGTTTTTGCATATGTCCTGGCATCAAATATAGAGTCTGTTGAATTGCCTGACTTTAATATTAGCTAGACAAACTGCCTGGCTCACTACAGCTATAAGCTTGTAGTAAGAATTGACTTAGATAGTATGAATAATATAAATTATTATTGAAACATAAGACAGAGTTTGATGCTGTACTATGCTGGCAACTCTTAACAACTGGTTTTCCAAAAAAAAAAAAAAAAAAGAAAAAAAGCTCTGATCTGTAGCATATGCTGATTTCAGTGATATAAATACTTCCATTATGAGCCATTTACAGTGATGTAAATACTTCCAAACTACCCATGTGAAGTTACTGAAATACGAAGTTAGGAAGAGATGCTAACAATCAACTCTTCTGAATCTGTAAGAGTCAGCTCAGCACACTACGAGTTTGGATAATAGCTATTGTAATTAAAAATGTTTTTAAATGAACATTGGCTGGGTGCTCAGGACTCTTCTAAATGCTTTATATACTGTATTTCATTTATTTTACTCAGCAACCTATAAGGTAGGTTCTACTTTTTAATTCCCATTTATGGGAACCTGTGTCTCAGAAAAACTAAATAATTTGCTCATATTACACATCAAAGAATAAGTGGACTATAGATTCAAAAACTTAGTTTGATTCAACTCTACTCCTCCAACTACTATTCAATATTTCTTTCAGGATATAAAATTAAATTATGTTCAGCGCAGTCTTCATGTTAAATGTATTTTTTATTTAATGCCAATATATGTAATTCCTTGAAAATTTTAAGTAAAAGATAGCTATATAAATTTGCCACATCCAACTAAATATTTATGTGACTCATCTCAGGAAAAATCTTTACAAAAGGAGGAAATAATCTAAGTAATTTTAAGTTTATGTGATTAAAAAAAGACATTTTGTCATCTCAAAAATCTTGAAAAGATTTTTACAAAAGTCTAATTGGAAAGAACTCATAATTATTTTTAAAAAACGTGTTATTTGCAATTGCATGGATTCTAATAAAATACAAACTTTTGCTTTATTTCAGTGACAGAGTTCTTAAATTGTCGCTGAAATTTATTAGATTATCAAATGGATGTTGTAAATAGTGGAACATTCCACCTGTTTTTCCAATACTTAGAACTCAGGAAAAAGGTTATTTCTAATTAGCTAAGCATGCAGAAAATATAATAACATAATAATGAGGAGAAATTTAGAAGTTAAAGAAAAAGGTTAGTAAATAAAACTGTAGGTGTCTGAAGATGATTGTAAACTTTGGATCACTGCAGAAAACTTTCCCTAGTAAGACCTGCCACTATACTTTAGGCAAACAAAGCAGTATATGACCTAGACTGAAACTGCGAAGGGCTTTATACTTTTAAGGGATGACAAGAAGTTAAGTGCTGCAAGAAAGTAAGTTGTGTTGTGGGAGTGGATGTGGAAGCTGAAAAAAACAGTTTAGAACTGAACTATGAGGAACTTCCTATGTCAAATTAAAGTTTGTATTTTATTCTGTAGGGCATCAAAAGTTAAAAGAAGTTCTTAAGAAAGTAACAAAATGATTAATATTCTATTAAGAAAAAAACTCTCGTAATGGTGTTGGGCAGAAGTTGAGAAGAGACTAGTAAAATGAAGATTGGTTTATTACAATATTCTCAGAAAAAGATAATGATGGATTGAAATAAAGATGATACATTATGGATAAAAGGGAGATTAATTTCAGGGTCATATTTGATGTAAAATTAACAAGATCTGATGAATGTCTATGTAGGAGATGCATTTTGGGGAAATAGTAAAACAAAAAAATAAAAAGTTTAGGCTAATACTAAGAGTTTTAGTTTAGGAGACTGAATAGATGATGATGTCATTAATGAACATTGAGGACAAAAAGGTGATTTACAGTTTAAAGCATTTGCACATATGTTGTCATATTTAAGATGATATTTATGTTACAAATTACCATTACTGCTCTAATAAAAACTTAATCTCATATGCAAATAAATGTACACAGTATCTTGATTTTATTTTCCCCTAGTGCTTACCATTGACTTGATGAAAAGTGCTTATTTGTGTTATTTATAACCATATTTATTTTAAATATTTTTAGTAAGTGATGATGTTTTCCTCTCTAACTGCTGTATTTAATTTAAATATTTTTGTTAGTGGTTCTTTTAACTATTTGAAATATATTTTATTATCTTTCAGTTTGAAACAAACTTTTAGATTTAGCATATTTATTCACCTCTTACATGATTTATTAAAAGAAGTAAAAGTAAAAAACTGCCATGTCACATTTCTGGTCCTACCATGAAACTTAAATGATGCTAAAACCAATATTTAAAGTCCATTTTGGACTCCTATGGTGTTATAGCTCAACATAGTTTTCATGTTAAATGTATTTCAACATGATTATAAAACCAAGTCTCTACTTTAACGCATAACATTAAAGCAAAAATAACACAAAACAAGAAACTTAAGGCACTTTCAAGACACCATAAATCCATCTGAATTGGTAAATGAGTATTAACCGTGGAGTCATTTCATTTCTTCTAATTAACTGATGTACTTAGAGGCACTGGGGATACAAAAATTAATAAATCCTTTTGCTGATTAATGGAACCTAGTGGAGGGGACATATAAACAACCCAATACAATAAGACATTTTAAGTGTTCTACAGTTAGAAATAAATTGCTATAGGAAACCGATGGGATGGGCTAGAGCAGGGAGGAGGAAGAGAAGCTTTCACAGAAAAGGTAACTTTTGAGTAGGGCCCTTTAAGGCTTAATAAGAAGTTGCCAGGAGGAGAAAGTGAAGGGCTTTGAGAACATACATTAAAAAGCAAGAAAATAAACATTCTGGTGTAGGCAGCATGGGGGCAAATTGTTTCTTGTTTTTTTTGTTTTTTTGCTTTTTTTTTAAAAAAAAAGAAAAAGAAGTTGAAAGAGTTAAGTAAGATCTAGTAGTGAGGATGGGGCATACCATGCTTAAGGACATTCGACTTGATATTTATATTGAGTGAATTTCTGATTTAACTCTAATAGGAGATTGTGTCATATCTTCAGTATGGGGTTTATCTCATGAACTCATTAATCCTTTTATTCATTCAGAGTTGAACTATAAGAAGACACCAAGCTAAAAGAAATCAGATAGATGTGGTCTTTAAAGCTCAGTTTACTGTTATTAAGGAAGGTCAGAACTTCAAAGGAAGGGTTGGGTAAAGCGATATAGAAAAATGTGACATTTGAAATGGTCTTCGAGGCATCGGTAAGATTTGGACAAGTCTCATTTATATTTTGATTATGATGAGTTGACACAATTTTTTGCATTTCTCACTTATAACTGGTTCATTTTCTAGGTGGCATTTAAAAAAATAAAGGAAAAAACCCACATAAACAGTGGTTTTAATAGGTATTGTTTGAAATGGCAGTGGCCGTTAGTATAATGTTTAAATAAGTAAATGCAAGAAAAGACTCTTTTTTTGGTCGTTATTGCTGTAAGTTTCCTCAGGATAGAGAAAATAACTATACGTTTCTGTGTCTTGGAGTCAAACAATTGTTTAGTTACATGTAATACTTCTGGGTTTTATTTGAATTTTAATCCTTAAACAATGTAGAGTTGTTAAATAATGATGTGATGGAGATATAATTTGCCCTTCGGCAAACTAGCTAGCTGAAGAAATAATGAAACATCACGTTCCAGATCAATCTAGCCTAGAAATCACAATCAATGGCATTTACTTTAGATTTTAAAAATCTTGATCCTAATATCATACTAGTGCATCAATTATATACACCTTAGCTATATGAGTCACCCCTTATGGGCTTACCATAGGCATAGAACAGAATGGATTAGAAAAGAATATAGATTTGTGGAAAATCTGAGATAAAAAAGCAATAGAACATTAAAATACACAGAAGCAGAACTTGGAGAATTCACTGATGTGGAATCTGAACCACTGCCACATTCTTATGTATAGTGTTAATGAAGTGCATATGCTGCAAGGCTTTCTACAAATTTAAGTAAACATTTCTCTAGAGGAATTTACATTGAAATAATCACAATGTATCTAAGAGTATTTAAAAGACATGAAACTGGTGAACATCTTATTACCTAAAGTAGAAGACTAGTTATATATTGCCATCTATGCTCCCATGGGTTCTGAAGTTAGGATTCCAGTTGCACGTTATTATAAATTTTAACATAAAATGTAATATAAAACATACCAAGCTTGAAACAACTACCAAGGGGACTGAGGTGTTTATTACTGAGCACTAGTTACATGTTTCTTAAGAAACATATATATAATAATAATAAACATTTTGAAAAATATTTTCTTTATGATTATAGAATTCACAAAAACCGGAATTGACTGGAAATCATAAATGATTCTCAAAGCAGGAAAAAACAAAAAAGAAATATCATCTAAAAATTTGTTAGTAGGTATGAATCAGACCTGTATTATTATTATGTTTACACTAAATGGAGTAGTTCAAACATATATTATTTTATCTCTAAATAATTTTATCCACAATATTTCAGAAGAAATCCCCACAGCCCATAGTAAACTATTTTTTTTTAGTCTTAAGTGAAGACTAATAATTATCCGGATAATAATTTCCACACAGTTTTTCCTCAGATAGTCAGACTGTTAAATACTGGTGGCTTTCCCCCACCAAACACACTTTATTAGTGAAGTGGAAATATTAATATAATCTTAAATGCCGCTGGAATGATTAAAAAATTTTTCCATACACAGAGAGATTTGGTCTGGTGCTGACAGAACTACACGATTTTACTGGCGAGTCACTCGAGCGTTGTGGAGATGCCGTTTCTGAGGTAAACAAAATTTTAGAATTTAGAAAATAAAGTTGTTACCATTCACAAATTTTGTTTAAGTGAGAGATTCTAACTTTTCCCCTTCGTTCTACCAGAGAGAAAAAAGCATTTAGACTCGCTACAGTCGTGGCATCAGAAAAAGGCGCTAAAAAGAGACAATGTAACGGCCCAGGGTGCTCCGAACTTCAGTGGGGAGACAACCGGAGCGCGTGGGTGGGGGAAGGGAGAGGCGGGGCTGAGGGTGGCGGGCGGGGCTGAGGGTGGTGGGCGGGGCTGAGGCTGGGGCTGTGGAGGGGCGGATTCGGGGTGGGGCAAACCCTGAGATCAGGCTGAGACCAGGCTCTGAGGGGCGGGTCGGGGGCGTGACCAGGGTGGCCCGGAGCCCCTTATTTAGAGAGTGGAGCGCCGCCGGAACCTCGGAGAGATTCTTTCTGTTAGCTGTCGCGTCGTTCACTCTGCCCACGCCTCGGATGGCCGAGCTCAGAAAGCCTACCTCCTCTTTAACGCCTCCTGAGGACTCGGATTCCCAACCACCCAGTAGCAAGCGGCTCTGTCTTGAGGAGCCTGGCGGTGTCTCTAGGGCGGGCTGGCGACTGCCTCTGGTGCCTCGCTTGTCTGAGGTGGAAAAAATCTGGGAGTTGTCGCCTAGACCCTTCAAGGGACTCCTTGTTTCAACGAATGCGATTTTTGATAACTCCACAGACTCGTGTGTGGAGAAATCAGTCAGTGGGAAGCAGATATGTAACCTGGGATGCCCAAATCTCAAATTCCAGATGAGTAGCTGTTTGCAGTCTCCCCCCTCACAAAGTCCTGATTCTGATTTGAGGGCTTCAGGAAGGTCTGAGGCAGGACTGCGTGACACAGAGGCTTTCAGTGTGCACCACAGTGATAGCTCCAAAGCAGGGTTTAGTCAACTTCTGCCCAGCACCTCTATACACGATATACATGGAATTAGAAATGAGAATCGAAAACAACAGTTTGTCCAAGGAAGAGACAATGTTCACAAAGAAAATCCATTTTTAGATGTTAACTTTTACAAGGAAACTAAATCACCATTTCATGAAATTAAGAACAGATGTAAAGCTGACAGTGTTATGCCATCAAATAAAAGAGAAAATAACATTTCATCATCGGTACTAAAAATATCAAAATCTCAAAACCAGCCCAGCTTGGAAATTGCCAAACCTAGCTATTTTAGAGATAGCAGCACAATAAGTGTCCCTCAGTTTCCAACGGACTTAAATAGCAAAATGTCCTCTGTCTATTTAAAGGAAATAGCGAAGAAAAAGAATGACAAAAAAGAGGCATATGTTAGGGATTTCACAAACATTTACTGGTCCCAAAATAGACCTGATGTTAAGAAGCAAAAGTTACAGAATGATAAAAAAGTTGTAGAAGCGGAAAATATTTTTTCCGAATGTTATGAAAATGACTACGCATCACTCAGCAGCCAAAATACTTGTAAGAGAAAAGACTTGATCAGTTCAAACTACTGTAACTACAGTAGTATCAAATGTGATGTAAGAGACTCTAGAAAGAATTTCGCTATACTAGAAAATGCAAATTGGGAGGAAGCAGGATGTCTGGACAGTTACATACCTACCAGGTTGGAAAAATCTCAAAACTGGGACTGTAACGTTAGACATATTTTGAGAAGAAATAGAGGAAATTGTTGGATTATAAATAATTACAAGACTAAATGTGAAAATATGAAAAAAACTGAAGAAAAATGGATTTGGCTATTATTATCAGAAATAGAGCTTTTAAGCAAGGAAGATTACCGCTGTACAAAAGTCATGAATGTACATGAAGAACAATCAAAGCTTCTCATAAGAGAAATATTAGGTAGTCAAATAGCTTTAATAATGACTGTTTGGCTAAATGGTGAAGGAGAAAATGATAATACTGTACAGTTGAGATACAATGCTACACAAAAAGTCTTTCACGTGAACAACCCTTTTGAAAGTTTCATTGTAGAAATTTTTTATTTCCATAAAAGTATTTCGGGAAATCAAAAAGATAATAGTATTTTAACCTGCTATAACATTTTGAAGTGTAAAAAGGAAATTGGTAAAATTGGTATTCAAAATCTAATAACCAGAAACATGAATACAAATATAAAGAATGGACTTTTAAGCATATATTTACAAGACAGTGTTTCAGAACCTTTAGATATTATATTGAAAACTAACATAGCTTTTTTGCTTAATAACTTTGACTCTTTAACAAGAATTGAAAATGATTTTGAATTAGAAGAGGAATGCATTTTCAAGTGGATGCTTTATTTGAAGTATCCAAAAAATATTATAATGGAAAATTATACTGCATATCTAGCAAGGATTTTAACTTCTTCAAGACTATTAGAAGATAATATGAAACCTATGTTAAAGAAAAGGAAGTTATTTAGAATTGAACAAGTTTTTGAAAAGTCTAAGAAAAAATCCATTAATTCCTTCAGTATGACAACTCAAAATATAGGTTTGTCAATTTTTGAATCATATGAAAAAATTCCCCTTTTAATGGACTTTGATGACATGGAAGAAATTTCTTTAAAAAGAGAAATTACTTGTCGGAATATGAGTTGTCCTCAACAACTCATGAATGTGGAAAATTGGGCTCACTATAGTTCTAGTACTATTAAAACATCTGTTAAGTCTTGTCCTCAATTTATACAGAACAACCATGGATATATTAATGAAAATTTTTATGAAGTAAATACGCACGGACAAGATTTAAATATGGAAAGAAAACAGGGACATAATATCAGTAGCTTTAATTGTGAGCACATATTTGAAGGTTTCTGCAATGTTAGGCAACAGGCCATACCAAGAAGCCACAACACAATCCATAATGAAGAGACTCATACCATTTCTATAACTCAAGTACTAAATTTTTGGAACTTGTTAAGTGAAATAGAAGAAAAAAAATATGACTTAATTTTGAAAGAGGAAGTAAAAGTCACAGCTGAAAGTTTAATCAATAGTTTCCAAATTCACAAAGATACTAAGATAGAAAAGGAAGAGAAAGATAGTTTTTTTCCAATGGATGATATGTTTTCTGTACAGTCAGTCTCTAAATTAATAAGTAGGGAGGTAAATGTGGAAGAAAATAAATACCTTAATCAAAATTATGTAACAGATAGAAATGAATACGAGAGTATTTTGCCAGAAAGGGAGATAGCTAATTCAAAGGATTTTCGTAGAAAGAATGACTCTGTAGTATATGTTAATCATCAGTTTGAAACTGGTCTGAGTGAAGGGGATGATGAATGTTTTCAGGACTTAGCTGCTAAATATTTATCAACAGAAGCTCTGACAATAGTAAAAGATTTTGAGATGAAGAGAAAATTTGATTTAGTACTTGAAGAACTTCGTATGTTTCATGAAATTAGTAAGGAAAATGAAATTCTAAGCACTGTGAAAACAAACAATGGGCAAGAAAATTACTTTGGAGAAAATGATGCTGAGGAGGTAAAAATGGAGACAGAAAAAGATTTGAAAATGGTTGTAGTCAACAAAATAAATGCATCTTCCTCGTTCTGTGATACTACAGCAGGTCCTAATACGGGTAAAAGTCACCAAAGTTTATTTAAATGGAAAACTGTACCCAATAATGGAGAACAGGAAGTTCCTAATGAGAGTTGTTATCCAAGTACATCAGAGGAAGAATTACTTTATTCTACTTCTGAGGAAGGTATGAAATTCATTTTAAAACATTCTTTCTCATGCTAGAAAAATTACTGCTTTTTTCTATGTAGGCCAAATGTATAATTCTGACAAAAAAGAAGGAAGGTAGAGATAAAATGCAAGACAATGTTTATTGATGCACACTATTTTCTTTTTTCTTTCTTCCCTCCACCCCCTTCCCCAGCAAGAAGCCATAGCTTTATTTGTGATAGAAACAATACAAATTTCAAAGCAAGCTGCAGTTACTCCTTGGAAACACCAAAAAAAAAAAAAAAAAAAAAGTTGTTTTCACATGGTTACATTGTTAATTCCACAATAGCATTTACCACATCATTACTTGTACTTCAGGGTCAGGACTCGAACTGCCTTTGGTCTCAACACATTTGCTTCTGACATGACCAATTCTATGTCCTTAACTTCTTTTTTTTTGAGACAGAGTCGAGCTCTGTGGCCCAGGCTGGAGTGCAGTAGCACCATCTTGGCTCACTGCAACCTCTGCCTCCTGGGTTCAAGTGATTCTCCTGCCTTAGCCTCCCGAGTAGCTGGGATTACAGGCGCCTGCCACCACACCCAGCTAATTTTTGTATTTTTAGTAGAGATGGGGGCTTCACCGTGTTGGCCTGGCTGGTCTCCAGCTCCTGGCCTCGTGATCCACCCGTCTTGAGCTCCCAAAGCGCGGGGATTTTAAGTGTGAGCCACTGCGCCGGCCTTATGTCCTTAACTTCCACACCTGTTTCAACCTCTTCCCCTTCACTCTCCTCTTGTACAGTTGGAGTCTGTGTGTTTTCTTGAATGTTTGAGACAGCTTCACCTTGAACTTTGACACAGCTTCACCTTGAACTTTGAATTTCTCAGCAGCTGCTAGCTGGGTGCACAGTATTTTCTCATAAAGATGTATTCAAATGTTCAAAAATATACTGAAGTTGAAGGAAACAAGTTAATTTTAAAAAGGAGCTTTGAAGAGTCCTACTTCATTTTTCTAAATATTAGGAGCCAACTGAAGGAAATATTTTGTTTATACTGTTGTTATTTTATATAAAAGTTATTTTTTGCTGTAACATACCATTCTTTATTTTCAGATTGTGAAACACCTTTACCTAAAAGACCTGCTTTTCTCCCTGATGAATATAAAGAAGAATTTAATTATTTATTGAGAGGAGGTAACATTGTGGTTACTTTTTAGGATACCTTCTAAGATGGTTATTGCATTGTGGTATTTTTAGTATGAGGAAAGTATAGATATTCATGGTGTTCAAAATAAATACAAAGTTTTAGCACTTTTTAAAAGCATTAATATTATACTAATAAATTCTAATAATTAAAAATTAGGTAACAGTTAAAATGCTATTTAGAATATTATTGGGAAATGCATTCTGCAAAACTACGTTCAGATATTTGTATTGATGTTTTAAAATGACTATATGTTAAGTGTTGTATATGCCTAGTTTACACATCTAATATATGCAATATTTACAAAACTAAAAAAGATATTTAGATAAGTTGGGTTTCCATTGATGAG